CCCCCCCAGCCACTCCTCCCCAGTATGACTTATAGACATATGTGACTTAGAGTCATATTTACCAACTACAAATGTTAGTTTCTTCTAAATTTGGCTTTAGTCAGACATTGACCACACTGTAGTTAGGTGGGCACATTGCTCAGATTAGCCTCGGGCTATTGTGTTGTTATCTGTCTCCCCTAAATACACACCACCAGTTGCATCCATTACAACCACCGCTGGTGGTGATCACCAGTGGGGTTATAGGAAGTACAGGTCAGGTCGCAGAGGTGGGTAGAAGGGAGCACACTGGGACAATATGCCTAAGGAGAAAGAGCTGCATCTGGCAGCCTTGGTCTCCGGAGCAAGGGAGAGGGCAGAGCTGCTGATTTGCTTGTTGACCAAGCCTAGAGGCAGCATGAATGGGAAGAGTCAAGGTCAGGGACAAAGCCCTGCAGCACCCTGTGTCATGGTTGCGACTAAGCCCTTAACCCAGCTTTCTGCAGAACAACTGCAGATTGCTCCAAGCTATTTTCAGTGAACATGCCTTGTAAGGACTAATTCTTGTAAATCTCTGCATTATTTCTCAGTAAATGCTGAGGTGGGTTGGTCATGTACTGTGACACAGCCAGCTGTGACAGCTCCACTGTTATCCTCAGTGCTTCTTTCTTCTCATGATGCCACTTTGCCACTGGGGTACTGAGACTATTTTCAGCCTTTCCATTGTCCGTCTGTCTCTTTTGCAGGAACTCATCACTGCTTGGTACATTGGGTTCCTGACACTCATCCTATCCTCGTTTCTTGTTTATCTGGTTGAAAAAGATGTTCCTGAAAAGGATGCTAACGGGGTGGAGATGAAGGAAGAATTTGAAACCTATGCAGATGCTCTGTGGTGGGGCTTGGTAAGCGACTCCAAAAATACCTTGTTCCTTTTTAAAAAATTTTGTATCCAAGAAGAGATAAAGTATTGATGTTAAGGATTACAGTATAAGCGCTGCTAAATTTGGTGAGGAGCATGTTACAGGTATAACATTACCAAAGTAGGGATGCCCCTACAACAAATTAATGGAACTTACATGCCTTACATGCTTAAACCCCTTTCAGAAATCAGTTTGTGCTCTTGGGTTCCACGAAATCACTCTTTTAGAGGAGTGTCTCTGAGTATAACTGCACTGGCAGACTTGAGCTTATGTCTATGGGAGACCTAGCAGTATCCTGACTGTGAGAGCTACATCCTTCAGAAAATGGCAAACCAGAGGTGGCCAAAATGGGAGATGCTGGTGACTCTCTTGAGGGATAAGAGGCTTTTCAGAGGATCCTAGGTAGACTGGAGCATTGGGCTGTACGTGAGCAGCCATAGAACTAAGTGAGTTTTGCAGGTTTCATGGTGATGTTTAAAGATGAGCTTTTGGCTTTGTTTGTCTTATGGGAAGTCCTGGTTGTTCTGCCCAACAGATCACCCTTGCTACGATTGGGTATGGTGACAAGACCCCCAAAACATGGGAGGGACGGCTGATTGCAGCTACGTTCTCTCTCATTGGAGTGTCTTTCTTTGCTCTTCCTGCAGTAAGTACCTTCCCCCTCCCCTGTTAGCCACAGCCCATCTCTCTGCACTTGCAAAAAGGAGGTAAAGTGATCAAAACTGCCAGTGGAACCAAAATCCCCTTTTAAGAAGTGATTCAGACACTTCAGCGGGTCTATATGAGTAAATCAAACTGCTTTCTTCCCAACTTTGCATAGAGCCTATTGGGGATAACATGTCACCCCACTACTCCTCGAACCATGTCTGGGGATTGTCTGAGACAGGAATAGTTGGCACAGGACAAAATTAATCCAATAAGTGAATGGTCTGGGACATCACAGAGCAGTTCATGAGCCTGTAGTCTGGCCTGGTTAGTTTACTAGTATTGACATAGCCACACAAGGCATTTTTTTAAGGATTTGGGACCTGTTGTTTTAACAATAGGGGTTGGGCCCATCTTACCCAGCTCAAAACACTTGCAAGCTGAAGATCTACATCTGAGTGACTGTCACAAACCAGTAGTCATTCTTTATAACCAGTGCAGCTCTGAAGAACATTTAATCTCACCTGTTTCCTTTCCTTCCTAGAGGAGACCTCTGACACCATCACAGAAGTGTTATTTCTACCCACTGAGATAAAAGGGAATTTAGGTAGCTGGTGCAGTACAGGTATTTTAGATCTAACCAAGTGAATCTTCCTCTGGATACTTAAGAAATGATCTCTGAATTCCCTTTGAAAGTATATTTGTTCTCTTGTGTTACATGGGCCAAGGAGTTGTCTTGTCTGCAATGTCCAGAGGTAAGAACGAGACAAGATCTGGCTGAAATGGGCCAAATAGCAACAGAAACCTTCCCTAGTCCAGATTTTATGATATTTTTCTCTAGGGTTGAGACTTGGAAAGAATTTCACAGCCGATGGCAAGCCCCATACACCCAAATCTAGGATAGAGTTAGCATAGCTCTTTTATCACACAAGCACCGTTTCATTCTACTCTAAGTGGACAGTAATACACCACCTGGACACTTCCAGCTTGAAAACACAGCAGACATTCAAGAAGCCTATAGAGGACTTTAAAATGATTTGGTGTGGCCTGTGGCCTCGTGTCTCATGAGTGGAGCAGTGAGAAAGGCATGCTGTACTGCACAGAGGTTCCATGTAGCCATCTCCATGCCGTCTCCTCTCATCATAAATCCATTTTTGGGGGGCAAGAAATGTCTAAAATCCTGTACCACTCTGTGCTTTCAGGGGATTTTGGGCTCAGGCCTGGCACTGAAGGTCCAGGAGCAACATCGTCAAAAACATTTTGAGAAAAGAAGAAAGCCAGCAGCTGAACTTATTCAGGTTTGCATGCACTTATCCTCTTCCTTGAATTGTATTTGAGGACTACTGCATCATGACTGCAAGGGTCACTCCTTCCCCCTGCCCAAATTCTCATTTCCCGTTGCAGGAGGTGAGAAGCCGTGTTTGTAAAAGAGTCAGTTCCCTCCCAGATCATAATCCTGTGTCAATAGTTTTCCTATATAGTGACACTCATTTGGTATGGCTGATTAGTAATTAATTTCCAGAGAGGCACTCAGGTGCATCATTATGTTCTTTAAAACAATCTGGCTGCTGTCAGCCTGGGGAATGGGTTTAGCTAGCACTAATTATTTCCTCTCCCTTGTAATTCAGGCTGCCTGGAGATACTATGCTACTAACCCCAACAGGATTGATCTAGTTGCTACCTGGAGGTTTTATGAATCAATTGTATCATTTCCATTTTTCAGGTAAGTGCATTGTCCACTTCTCCATCATTGTTTTCTGTGAAATCAGGACAGGAAGCATAGGCTTTAGATATGTATCAGTGAGGCTTTTTTAGGTAAGAGATAGTTGCTAGTTAACTTCCCAGCAGAAAATGGAAAACATGCTTTTGGCCTCTGAATCCATTTCTTCTCCTTTCCCCTGGTGAGATGTATCAGCGATGCATGGATAAGCCGATCAGTGGCTCTTGTGTTGGCATTAAACAAAGAAGAAGTCTGCCTCACCATCAGCTTCCCTTTGTAAGACTCTGGGTTTTATTGCCCTGGAAATCTCAATTTCTTCCTCTGTAATTTGGATACTGAGAAAGATTTAGCCCTGGATTTCAGAGGCAGCTGTACTTCTCACAACCTCTATGAAATGGTTGTGTATTTTAAGATATGGGCTGTGCTGAGAGTTCTTACTTTTTCTTCTTTAACTTAACTGGCCTGAGAATTGTGTTGTTCACAGGGGTGGGCATGTCATGTGAACATAATTAATGCTTGTGAAATGTTTATCTTTGGATAATACCAATAGCTTAAGGGGAAAATTCAGTGGAGGACAGCCAAAGCAGATTTAAAACTGTCTCCTACTGAAACTATTAACTGAAGGTTCACAAGGAAACTTTTCTGAGGAGCTGGGGTCATGATTTTCTTTTAATCACCATTTATGAGTTCAGTGGAAAGCATTCTGTACATAAAGACATTCAGACTTAATGGATGCTCATATGTTTATGAATATGAGTCTGTCTGATCCTCACTTTTCTTGCCTTCCTCACCTTGAGGTCTTAACATTTTAAAATGTTGGCCCTATGAAAACCAAGACTGTTGGCTGTAGACTGTCTGCTGCTAATAACGGTCATTACTTATCCAGTGTTATGCTTTAAGCTTTCATTTTGAACTTGCTGTTATGCCTCATTTTGAAAAAAGTGCCCTTAAACTACCGCTCAGCTCACATAGAGGTCTCCGTGTGTAGGTTGGGCTCACTGTGCTAACACTCCAGCTGCAGCTGCTTCTCCAAACTGACTCAAAGAAACATTTTAAGCAAAGGCAAATTACAAATACTAACCCCTTCTTCTTTTTTATTCACAATATGTTCCTTTAGGATTGATTTCACATACATTAAAAATGAAGCTTCTTCAGAAAGAACACCACAAGCATTTAATTAAGGCTCAATACATTTCTTTCATTTCCTTCATTCATTCTCACACTCTAATATGCATTACAGAGTCATTTCTAGTGAGTTTCTTGACCTCAGGTTTTGTTCAGAGAATAATTCTCAGGCTTGCCTGCAGTCTAGACTCATTACTGAGACTTCAAGCTTGTTCGCTGTATGTAGGTTCCTCTGTGATTCAGATGTGACCTGAAATTTAATAGGTGTTTTCCAGATAAGGTCCTGGGAGAGAGAGGGAGGAAGTTCACTTCTCACCAAAGACTCAATTGCCAGTCTAAGCAGCAGAGATTGGTTTCAGGAACCTACATCTCTTTCTTTGCTTTATGGCTTGTTGAAAATGTAGGTTTTATTCTGCTGTCAGTTATGGTCACAGAATAAAAGATATATAAACTGTTAGCAATAGATTAGCAATTTATGTTTAAAAAATCTGCTGAATTTATGATGTAATTCTTCTCTCCTTGCTTTCTTGTAATGCTTTATCTCTTCTATAAAAGGAAAGAGCAACTGGATGGTACTGCCAGGTATGTTGCTGCCATTATTATAACCTTGTTTTAAGACAGTTATTGGAGGGTGTAGGTTAAATGGTTCTTTGTGGATTCATGAGCTCTTAACCAAAACATGCTACTAACACCACGGGTAGTCATTAAAAATGATTAACCAATCCATTTCCTAATTGCTTGCTTTTTTTCCCAGTTTAACAACACAGCTAAAACATTGATTGTACAAATGCAGTGTTGCTTGCTGATTGTCTGTAAACAGCTTTATTGTTCGTTGTGACTAACCATGGTCTAGATTTTTCCTGATCCATGACACAGAGCCAGAGTGTAGCATCCAGGTAGTTCTGGGGTGAATTAAAAGTTCTGTTTCATGTTATTGCTCAACAGTCCTGCACAGAGCAATGCTGTGGTGTAAGGGATCAAAGATTTCTTGGTGATAAATACTAAGATGGATGGCTAAAATGAATCAGCAGGACAGTCAATCTCTCTGGCAGCACTAGAAAAAAGCTACAGTAAGTCTGAGGCCTTGGTCCCACCCCTGGGGGATGGTCACTTGGGGATTTTACAAGCAAAGAGAATGAAGAAACCATTGATCAATATGCTGATCAATCCCTGAACATGACAGCAGAGAAGTCACTATCAGTCAACCTGCAAGGCCTCAGATGGAAACTATCTATTTATAACCTCCTCCATCGAAGTTGCAGATTAAAAAGCACGGAAATAATTCAACCTCTTAGGTCGAGAAAGTTAAATACTTAATGCTAAACTGCTAACAATGTATCACCCACAGTGAAAGTCAATAGCAATTAGAGAATAAATAGTTCCACAGACCTGTGCTGAAACAATTTTCATTTGCACCTCCATTTACAACATAGAGAAAAAGATTAAGAATTGTAGCAAAATTTGAAGACTGTTAGAAGTCAGCTCTGGGTTCTAGTCCCTGCTCTAATGAAAAGTTATCTTTGTTTTTTAAACATTTCATGCAACATATGGCAGCTTCAATAAAGGGAGCTGAAAAAACACAGATTCACGCTTGCTGTTCTCCTATGAATTTGAGGGGTTCAAGCCTCCTGTAACAGATAAGAAAAAGCATATCCCAAGTTTTCTTACAATACAGGCAAGTGCTTTAGTGTCAAATTACTGTGAAAAGATTGCTTCTCCCTCCTGGCACCACCACCATGTGCTATGCACTAACCTGCTCCTCTTCAAAGACTGCCTGTGTGGGAGTTAGTTTGTGAACCCTCATGACCCTTAAATACTGCTCATCCATGGCACTTTCCAGGCTAAGCAGTCATGAGCAAGCTCAGTTGCATTAATGTAGATGTCCAGAGATTTTTGCAATCTCCACTGTTGGCAGCAGCTGAATTTTGGCCTTTGATATGTAGGAGAGAGCTTAGGAGCTGAAATCCTTTGGAGTACGTAACTCTGTCCCTTAAGCCAAAATGTGTTCTGACTCAAATGCAGCAGCAGGTCACAGAATCACTGAGGCTGGAAAAGACCTCTAAGATCATTGAGTTCAGCCTATGTCCCAAGTCCCTAATTAAAATTAGGAAAGTGAGTGACTGCTGCAGTTTGCTGTTGGTCACAGCCCTCCTCTAGAGAAGCTCCTACACCTGCAGTGACAGAACCGTTCATGAAGTAGCTTCTGGGTTGATCTAACTTTCAGGCCAGTAGAAGTCACTTTATGTTGAAGCAGTGGATTAAAAATTGAAAAGTATGTCTCACAGCTCAAAATCTTTAAAACTGTAATCCCAAGGCCCTTCATTCTAGCTGGATATAACTTGTTTTTATATTGTTACATACATAATAACCTTCAACAGAATCATCAGTAAACCTGCATTAGATCCTTTCTTTTAACAGGAATGTATTTATGGAAATAAGCATTTAATAACAGACATTTGAAACCCTCCATGTGAGCAGAAGAATGATGGTACTTGTGGGAGCATCCACTGATTTCAACAGACATGGAACTGAGCCATAAAATCTAGTTGTTTTGACAGTCCCACCTCCTATCTCTCATAAAACCCTTATTTACAGACTAGATAATTAAAAAAAAAAACCCTCTTCCTCCTGCAGTGATTTAGTATAGAAAGTATTACTCTTACTCCACTGCAGTTTGCATTTAAGGCTGTGTTGAAATAAATGAGCAATAAGGGGGTGCGGTCCTACAGGAGAGAGCAGCCTATAAGTGCATTCAGTCTCCAGGTTCTTGCGTCAGCTGATGGGAAAGCTGTGGTAATAAACTGCACTACCTGAACAGTTGACAAAGGAGAGAGAAGAATTGGTGCCCAGCTTTCCCAGAAGAGTTGGAAAATGTGACTAGTTAATAAACTAAACCTGAGACCTGACTGCGTGAAAATCTGAGGATGTGTGGCACTTTGGATGTCAAGGTTCCTATTCCATGGTGTGAAAGCTCTTTAGAAACTCCAGAGTAGTAGAGCTAAACTCTACAACAGATCCTTCTAGGATTTCTCCTTGGAAGCGGGAGCTGGCATCATGACAAAGTCGCAGCTGGGTGCAGCTCCTTGTTCTTAGGCCGTTTGTGAAAAACACAAGGGAGACAACAGAGTGGAAGAGTCTGTTTCAGAAGCTGCATCCCAAAGCAAGGCTGCAGGGAAGGACTTGTGATAGTAGAAACCTGATGAAAGTCTAGCAGCAGTCCAAGGCTTTATTGAAACTCCTTTTAAACTAAAACTGTGAAGATGCGAGATATGATGAAGAGCATATTGGGCTACACTTGAGCGAGACAGTAGGCTGAGCCCTGTAACCAGTGAAGTGATACATATGATGCTACTCTGTTAAGAGAAGCATTTTCCATACATGCCCTGCATTTCCCTACATGCCCTGCATAGTTCCCCAAACCAGGAGGAACTAGGGCTGTGCTGTTCATTGCTCATGGGTGGGAAGTTTACTGACTAGGTGCCACTAGCTTTTTCTTCCTTAATGAATACCTAAACCTACTGGCCCGTGAAATCTCAGGCAGCAGTTGCTTTTCTGCATGTGTCACAATGCCTGTTCATTGGTTCAGCTCTTAAGAAGCAGATTTATTAGGAAGCAACATTAACTCATTTCTGCCAGAGTGCAGCAAATAATTCGGCAAACATTTGGGTGCCTGGTGTACATTTAAGATGGGCCTTTGCTTGATGGATGTATTGTTTATTTTGAACCAACTTTTTATGTCTGAGGAATGAATTTTGGCCCTGATTTTTTAGTGTCATTGTTGTTAGCAGCTCTTCCACTGATTTTGAGTAGTGTCAAAAACTTCAACACTTGTGTGTACAGGCACTTTAGCAAAGGAGTTTGAACTTTCTCCTAGGATCTTGACTCTAATCAGCATTGTCCAACTGTAGAACTAGACATCAGGAAAGCATGTTCATTCCTAAACCTATTATTATGCAGTTGCTGAAGACTAATTTATCCTTGTTTCCTTATCTCTGCAAGATAGATAATATTTCTCTGCCTTTGGATAGTTGGTTTGACTTTTTAAAGTGGCAGAATCAGTACTAGTCCTTCCTATTATGTGAGTATGAAGGAATACATACAAAGTGGTACATTTCTGTATTGCCATTAGTAACAACATAATGAAAATAAAATCATAGTTTGCAAAGTGGAAAAATTCACTGCCTGGATTTATTCTTAATATATCTGCCCAAAACAGGAAGGAGAAGAAAGCCACTCTGTCTGCACACTACATTAACAACAAATGAAAAGCTGTTTCCATTCTTTTTCATAGAGCTTTTCATGGGTAATCATTAACGTCTCATCTTAATAACTTTTCTTCACTTTACAGTAATGTCATGTTTAGTAGGGAGTCATTCTTTGGATCAAGCCTCACAAGAAAACTTAGGTATATACATTCAAATAACAATTGAGCATTACTTTTTTCATATTTCTTGCATGCCATTCTCTGCCTGCACTTTCTGTTTTTACTACAGTACTTCATCTAATAACCATGAAAAGTAAGGGGCCGTAAGGCTGGAAAGTTAAGCATAAAAAGAAAGTTGCATGGTCTTGCAGATAGTTGGTTGTTCTGCTGTTCAGAAAACATAGGATCTAATCCTGGCTCTGCCAGCAATTTGCGTAAAAACAGGTGCTTTTCTCTGTTTACATAGAATGGTAATGATACTAACCTACTCTGCAAATCATTTAGAAATTTGCTGTAAGAAGAATACATTGTAAGAGCTAAATACCATTACTTATGCAGTCCCAACCCTGCCTACAGAAATTCATGAAAGTTACTTTGCATTTGAGTTCAGTGGAACAACATGTCCGCATGTGTATTTGCAGGTTCTGGTTCAGCAAGTGGAAAACAAGTGGATGCTTTGATCATCTGAATAAAGTTAGTGACGTGCTTAAATATCTTGCTGAACTGTGACCTAAGATATGGGGCAAGAATTTTATCTTCCTGCAAAGAGACGGGGAGATAATTTGTGGCATTTTGGGAATCTGGAAGACACATAATTAAAAATACTAATATTTTGACTAAATTGTCAAGCGTTTTATTCTACCCCATGCAAACATCTTGCTATCATCCAACTTTATGTCATTGTTCTCATTCCCACATCATTCCACAAATATGGAATCATCAACACACAACTCGGCTTTTCTAGCCTAAGCTCTTCAACTTTTGGAGAGCTGCTAGTAAAGCATTCTCATAATTTTCATTGGATGGTTGGCCCATGCAAAATAGTTAAGACACATTGATTTTGCAGTTTGGTTTGCTTTCTGGTGGTAGATACATAGAGATGCGGTCACTGAAAAGTAAAGTTTGGGTCAACATCCATATGGTTTCTACCTACGTTTCTGGCTGCATCCATTGGTGAAAAATACCCATCCTGTTTTCACAAAAAAAAATTGATCTTGGATTATTCTCCTCTTGGGTTTGTGTGATATTGTTTATTTTTACCCATTTCCAGTCACTTTAGAAAGTGTGGTTTGAGAACAGGGGCTAAGCAAAGGTCCTTAGTGTGCGTAAGGACTCTTTCTGAAGGGCGTCAAAGTTGAGCCCAAGTTTAAGACTTGTG